AAGCCACTTGCTCTCACATCACGTTGCTCTCAGCAGTGGCTGCTACAACCCCTTCCTGTAAAATGCAAACAAAACAGCCTCCTTGTTTATCTTGGAAACTATTCCTAAATCAACAGCGGGAACAGCACTAACACAGCTTACCAGCTCCATGAACGGAGGGTGGTTGTGCTGTGACTCCCCAAACACTGAATTGCCCGCAAGTGATCAAATGCACAGAGTGCAACTCTACAGTATATCTGTTGTAACCATACCATTTCAGGGCTCAAAAAACCCATGCAACAGAGAAATGATATCCTCAGTCTTTTCACAACCTTGCTTCTTAAATTCAGCAGTATTACTAACCCTTGTGCACTGTGTTCAGGCGTGGGGAGTTGAAGTTCATTTTGCTGCCATGATCTACATGTGAAATTGCAAAAAACTGCTCTACAGAGGTGGTGCTTTTCCCTGTCTTGGGGGTGGGACTTTTACAGGTTTGTTCATTACTCACTGTCCTTATCTGTTGAACCTCTGGGCCCTCCTGTTCTGGGCCACTGATTTGATCAGACAACTGACGGTCATCGGTCATGACCCATTGCACCAGCAGCAGAGGTTAGCAGGCCTGCTGATTATGTCCCTACATTCCTATGTCAGCAGTGCCATAAACTTTGTCTGTCCTCGTCTAGAACAGCTGTGCTCTAGGGAAATACCCCTTCTGGGATACCTGCATGTTTGCATCTATTTGCCAGTATTACACCTGCTTCAGGCTGAGAAACGTTAAAGCTTTCCTTACGCCATGATCTAACTCTTTATCCATAGCAAAACTGGTTTGAAAATTCCCCTTCCTTGCCCCTGCTCTCCTGTGCAGTGCCCTCCCCATGACTACAATGTGCTGTCCCTCATTGTGCCGGGTTATCTGGTTTGGGATCTTTCCCCATTGACAAGTCTGCCAAAGCCGTACCTCCCTTTTCTTCTTTGTTCTGAGTAATGAAGAAAAGGGTCTAATGGAATTTTAAAATGGCAAATTGTTCCTTGAGATGGAAGCCTTTTAGTCTATATTTACTAAGAGTAGAGGAAAAGGAGAAAGTAGGGATAATGGAAAGCAGGGAACATGGTATTAGACCATCAGGCATACTGCTGGTGGGCTAGGCACTGCTGGGGAGACAAAGGAGCAGGGGAGCCTCACTGTGGCTCCTGCTTCTTTACCCAGTTCTACCTAGGCTTAATATTTCATAGTTATTTAATACAATAGTTATTTTAATTACATTTAGAGGAATGTGGCTTTTTTTCTAGACAAGGCAGAGATTGGCATGTGGGCCACCTTTGATTCATTGTGTCAAATCATTTTGTCAAACTATTGTATACCATTACATATTCTAAACACTACCGAGAGTACTTTATCCTGCAAATGTGACCTCAAAACTTGAATCAGTCTGTTGCAAGCAGTTGGTCAAAAGGAAAATGGTACATTACAGAATGACCTTCAATAGAGTTTCCATCTTTTATTTATAACTGGGTTTATTATTACAAGCTCCTGTTGCACACCAGCTATCAAATCCTCAGCAGGCGTAAATCAGCGCTCAGGTTAATGGAGCTAGACTGATCACTGCCAGATGAGGATACAGCTCTACTTGTAACCCAGGGATAAAATACAAGCTTCTCTATAGTGCTGAGGCTCTGAGAGCTAGAACAGGGTGGCTGGTGAATTACTGGTTATCTGAACATGAGAAGAACATGCATTTCCACACTCAGGCAACTAACTCCGCTGCTTCCACACATCTCTAGGGAAGAGCATTCATAGAAAACAACTTGAAGATATGTGTTGTTAGGGTAAAGGAGGGCCCATGGGCTAAGCACAGAAGTCTCTAAAACTGTGTAAACTGTCAAGAGGATGATTACCTCTGGCAAAGGTCATTCTCATGTACAAAGAGGAAAATGCATCCTTTTTCAGGAGAAGATATAGGGCCTTCTTGTGTAGGCTGTTTCCCAAGACCTTTGCTTTCTGAGCCTCCCCAGAAAGGGACGGAGGTCAGACTTGTGACAGGGCAGGGAACAGGACCAGAGAAATTGTAATTTATCTTGATGTACCCATTTACTTTCTAATTAAGAATTCCTCTTAATAGAAAAATCTTCCAGAAACAGGAAGGAGCTGCAGGAATGGAGCTTCACTGAGCAGGTGTGGGTGGCAGAGCCTTCTTTTATTACTAATCAGCATGGTTATGCCATTTATAGAAAAGGACATGAGGCCTGTGCAAGGAACTTTCTAAAGAAGAAAAATACAGCCCTGCTTTGAACAGTAAGCGAGCTACATAGGGTGGCCCATAAAAAAAGCCGCGTAATAATGCCTCCCCTCTCTTGGTGAAAGCAGGAAGTAAAAGTGGATTTACATGGTCCTCCCAAGGCACTCTCAAATTCTGTCAGGAAGGGCGAGAAAGCCTGTGAAGAGCTGAGCGGGGCAGTCAGGTAATCTGGACTTCACAGCTTACGGTGGCAGCGAGCATTTGGCCATGGTGTGGGGCAGGTACTGCTCAGAGGCCATGTAGCAGTCTGAGAAGCTACAAAGCAGGAGTGGGCTGCAGAGTCCTGGCCCCTGAATTCTGAAGTGATATATATACAGAGATTGATGGGATGAGTGGAGCACATGGCAGCGAATATCAGGAAATCACTAAACAAGAAGTAACCCCTTTTTCATGCAACAAAAACTCTTCTATATATGGTCTGTAAGCACTGCTAGGACATACGCTGCACAGCTCTGAGGCAGCTTCGTTCCTGTTGCTCCCTTTGGAGGTTGAAGTGAGACACAGCAAACCTAAGAAATGTATCCACGCTCTGTATAAGTTTAGTTTCAAATGGAGAAATGGCACTTAAATGTCCAGATGCCCAGGCCAGACTCTGAGATTTTAGGCTCCAGCTCCATTATTTCAGCTAAAGGAGATTATTTTAGCAGCGGATGATAGAGTCACAGATACACACTGAAGGTACTAATTGCATGTGGTAGACGAACGTAACGCAATAACTGAATAGAAAAGGTTTTCTAGTTTTCAATCTGTAGTTTGCAAGAAGAGAAGTGATTTCTTTTTTTTATTGGCTATCTAACCATTTTAAGATCAAAGTGTTTTAGGTCTTATGAAATAAACAAAAAGCTCTTGAAATTAAATATATTAGGAAAGCTTACACTTACAAAATATGTTTCTTTAAAAGGTTGCAGGCCAGTAATACTTTACCTAAGTCTTTGGATTCATTTGAATAATTAAAAGCAGTGGTGCAGTGTTTTTTAGTTGCAGTAATGTCAAGCAGGCAGAAGGTGCGCCCTGCACTGGACCGTGCCCGGCAATCTTCATTTCCTGACTATGGCATGAACCGGCTTCCACGTCTGCATGCACGATACCACTTCTCTTATTTCTTCGCTTAATAATAATGCAGCTGTAATGTCTGTCCCACACGTATGTTTTTTGTAAAGCATGGTTAATACTGAAAAGTGTTGTTTGTATCTGAAGATAGTGGAGTCTTTTCTGATTAGGAGGCAGGTTTCTTGCAGTTCTGTAAGAAACATATTTTCTTTTCCATCCAGTTATAATGATCATGTGAGACGTGACAAGGAAACAGGAGCGCAGGACCAAAAGCCATCTGTTTCTTTTTTGGTATTTCATATTGCATGAAGCAAGAAGGTGGCAAAGCTTATATGCTTAAACATGGGGGTATAAAATATGGTAGTAACATTTAACATGCTGTAAAGAAATGTCTTTGAACCAAAACCAGATATTTTTTTGTTTTGTTTTTACCAGGACCTGTTACCACAGCTATAGTAAAACTGGCTGCTGCTTGTGTTTGTGAAAACTTTGCTTATAAGATATTTTACATATTTAGTTTAGACAGTGCAGTGGGTGGAAAGTCGGCTTCCATTCCCCAAAATAAGTAACAACTTCTGCAAAATTCTGATACTGCTTTTTTTTATTATTATTATTTCCACATTGTGCCATTCCTGAGGCTAGTTTTATAAGTAAAGCTTGGTTTAAGTCTAAAAACTGAAGTTTACTGCTAATTCTGGAGATAGAATGTAAATGTTGAATAGATTTCATTGATATTTAACTTACAAAATGTAGCCTTTTGTGTGCACTGTTAGACTTTTGGTATTCTCAAGTATGTCCATACCAAAGCCGAGCAGTGCTTTACTCTGCAATTTATTCCAACCAACTGTATTTTGTCCTTTTTATTTCTGCTTGCCGTATGACCTTCTACTGTATTTACCCAAAGTGTGGGTTTTCACCCTGCAGAATGCATAATGGGGGTTTAGTTAGCAATAAGCTCCAGTGGTAGATTTTAAAAGCTGTACACCAGTGCTAGTTGAAAGCAACACACCGAAAAAAAGAGGTTGTGCACATCTTGTACTAGCATTAACACACTCATACCCAAACCCTTCTCTGCTTTCCCCTCACACATTCTGTACCTTTGCAGCCTTCAACTGCATCATTTAGCTGCAGTATCCCTACTGTGGACGACCAGATTAAAAAGTACCGCCGTAAATATACCTGGAACTTAGAAAGGAAAGGGAAATAATTGCCCTCTCTTTCATCTCAAGACTGAAGTGCCTTTTCAGTCAAAGAGATTTCCACTGCGTGCTAAAGACTATTGAGATGAGAAGAATACGTTTGGGATATTTGGGCTAGTTAGCGCTCACTTCCCTTTTTTCTGCATTAACAGCATAGCCCTCTTTGTAAGATCACCCAATTTTTTAGACCTTTGTAAAAGTTTAGGTCAGTCTTGGAGTCCTGTGCTTTTGTTGGCCTGTCACCAGTTGGATCCCATTTATAGAGAGTCTATTTTTCCCTTAACTACTTGCATAGCCCCTTTTTTCTTTTGTGGTGCAAGCCAGAATTCCTGGAAGCAGATTTTACTGCCTGCGGGATCTCGAAGGCCGCCTTCTCCACGGACGTTTCCCTCTTCGACTGGCTGAATGCCACACTGCGATTTATAATTTATTCAGTGGATCCATTACTGATTCTCTATGTATGTTTTTTGTCTAGACTGAGGAAGGGCAAAAAGTCATTCCGCCTAAGTCTTCCTGGGAGCTGTCAGAGAGAGGCATCCTCTCACACATACAAGAAGTAGTGACTGCTGGTTTTAACACAATTGCACAAGAGTTTAAAGATATTGACTCTTCAAAAGATAATACAGTATCGAAAGAGGAGTTCTGGGATATATATAACCGACATTTTCAGCATCTGACTGAAGAACAAGTAAGAAAACTATATTATTTTATCTTGTTAATTTAAGCATACAACTGGGTAAACTGGCTTTGGCTAGAGACGTGCGTTTGCATACTGTTGTGTATAGGCAAGTAGTTTAAAAATTTGGATGAAATGAAAATGTTTTAAGACTATCATTCCATGAACATTTGTTGCTACATTTGTGGGAGATTATTTTTTTCCTTATCTCTGAGTATGGTTATGAACTATAATAATCGCAGGCTTTCTAAAGCAAAGTCACAGAGATGCTATTGCTAATAGCGAAGGTGTGAATTTAAAGCACAGTAGTTCTCTTTCACTAGCTCTTTATCTGTATATTTGCTATTTTAAAAATTTCTTTTTTCAGTTTTAAGTTATCCACTTCCAGCTGATGGGGAAAAAAACCTTCTCGGCATGCAATAAAAAGTACTTCCATTGGGAGCTAATGCAAATTCCTGTTTTCTCAGCAGCTATTTTGTCCTGCCCTCCTCGGACAAAGAAAGGGGCAAGCATTTGACATTTCCCGGCCACCTCTCAGCTACTTTTCTGGGTTAAAGATTCCCCCAGATTAACATCAGCAGAGTTTATGCAATCTTGAATTTAGCTTGAGTGACTGAAGTCGTGGCATGAATCTGGCAGGACAAACCATCCGATTAGCCCAGTGCTAATCTCAGGGGAACCTGAGAGGCCAGTCTTTCATAAGATTCTGCTTCTGCTGAACTTAAAATCAAAAGAGCCATTTTTTATCTTTGCTAATGCTGGTTCAGTGTGATTTTTCCGAGTCCAAATACTAGGTGAATAATAAAACAGAGGGAACCTTGACTAAAAGATTTCGGATCTTACTTAACTCTAACCTTCATGCTCATGATTGCATCAATGCCATTTGGCAGCAAACTGAAAGACAAGACACAGAGCCTCCAAACTCGTATGCATGTCTGCACTACAGAAAATTATTTCGGTACTTTGCTCATTCAGACATACCCTCTGATTTCTTGGCCCTGTACTTCCCACCAACATTTTTGACTATAAATTGCGGACAGGAGTGGGGCCTGCTTGTAATTACAGCAAAGATATTGCACAGTCTGCCATGTTATCAGGTGCTGCTATGCATGTGTAAAGTTGCAGATGAAAGCACTGAAAAAAATCAAAATATTTTCCACTTCGCCCTTGAAAATAGCATAAAAAACCCAAACGGCCTGTGTGCTCTATTCCTAGTAGCCACAATTCTGGTGAAGTACCAAGTACAAGTGCCAGATCTGAACCTGGAACCACCAGTGAAAGCAAAAGTGAAAATGTGGTGGTAGTCTCTCTTCATCCCTGTGAACCACTGAGCAGAAGCGCCGCGGTGAGCTTGCAGCGCAGCGCTGGCCGAGGCAGGAGAACGCACACCTTCCTGAGCTGTTAAAAATCTCTTGGTTTTTTTCCTTTTTTGGAAGCAGTAAGGCAAGCATCTCCAGCTGAAGAGTCCTCCAGACTAGATCCTGTCTACTTTACACTCAAGAAGAAGCGAAGGGACACAGGAGCTATTTTATACTTAAAAGAACCTCAGACAAGTGAAGAAAAAAAAATCTTGATAGAAACTGTCATCCATAATAGCAACGAGAAGCAGGCCTGAGGAGTCTCATTTATATAAGCAGCAGCCTCTGTGTGAGTGAGACTCAAGCCCTGTATCTCCAGAGATATTTTGATTTTGACAAGCCTCTCAAAGATATGCCTACGTATATCTATATGAAGATGCCCCAGGGGAGCCTTCCAATCTGGGTACAGGGTTTGCCACTGCTAATCCAAACCCCTGTCGTTCAGGCTGTTGTCGCTGCTCAGAGTTGTAACAGAAGTGTTACTAATAGCCATAGTCTGGATGACTTCACAGAAAATGTCTTCTTTTATCCTTTTCTGGACGATGGCCACTTACTGTTTGTTATTAGCAAGGCTCAGCTGGAATCTGTATCAAGTAGTGGATGAAGAATTTCTTCCTGAAGTTTGGCTTCTTGGTCTTCTGAATTTCTGATGCTGTGTCCTTTTTCATAAAAGGCTAAGGATGGTAAACACACTGCAAGCAAGGTCTTGATTAATATCTTGCCAACTGACATCCCCCTTTTTGTCTCAGGCGCTTTTCTCCTCTCTGCTTGAACTCCCTTGACTTGCTTGAACTATCTGCGATCCCCCAAATGGCTAAACTTCATTGGGTGTTAAAATAGTTTCTAACTAGCTAACCCAGCTCATCAGGGTATTGTTCTATTTAATTGAAGTTTGTAATACACTTTGAGATTCTCGTATGAAGTGTGAAGTATAATCACAAGCGCAAAATAGAATTGTTTATAATTCATAATGTGGTAGCAGCCAGGCCAATGGGGGAAAGTTGAAAGGAAATTCAAAATGTATCCTTTGCCCTTTGAAGTTTGACTGCAACTTGGCACATGCATCAAAGAGGTGACTAGTTTCCTTTAGGGTTTAAGTCTCTGCCGAAAACAATCAAATCAAAAGCAATCTGAGGTTCCCAATTAGGTTTATATTAAAAATCAATAATGAAGACCCTAAAAAGGCATACTGATGACTCTTGAAACACTCACAAAATGAGTGCAACTTATTTAAGGGCAGGCTGTGATAATCCTTGCTTCGATTAGTAGCTTATATCATGAGTAGTCCCATTTAATTCAGTGCAGCTACTTACTGAATAAAGTGCTGGGAAATCAGCCCAGCCTCGTCCTTACGATTCCATACGTAGCCCAGAGGGTGGGCTACCTGCCCTGTGTCGGGCCAAGGAGCCACACGGACCTCCACGGGCAGCAGAAGCAACGCTGCCAGCAGCTGCTCACAGCTCTTCCATAGGCTGGCTGTATTCTAGAGGTACAGTTCCTGTAACTATATATGATTCTAAAGGCTGTAAAGATTTCCTGCTATGTTCTTTCATGCTGATTCATTTTTGCCCTCAGGGTGAAATAATTTGTTGATGCAAATACAATGACTGAGGAACCTTAATGGCCTCCTGAGGTAGTGGTATAACTTAGGTGCACCTGATAGCATGAGAAATTTGCCTCAATGGTACTTAGCCAGGATACAAGTGCACCATGTATTTGATTTACATCTCATGTTAAAGCATTATTCTTCTATACTGCAGCTCAATCACTGTGTCTAATCACAGGGTTTAGTAGTTTAAACAGCACACTAAGGGCCCAATTCAATTAAAAAATGTCCTGCAGAAATCCTTTTTTCATTGTTTTCCCAGCCTTGTGCAGGCTTCTGCAGAGAAGCTGTGACTTTTTTTTAATAAGATGGGCCCTAGGATTCCTTCTATTCCAAGGCACCCTCTCCCTTTCTTTTTGATACTTTTTGTCACGTCCTTAGTCCATAAGGGGATTCTGTTGTGGTAAAACTAGCATTTACAAAAGTCATCTTTTGCTTCTTCATTAGTTCGAAAATCTTTGGAACACAGTGGATGTCAGTGCTGGTGGACGGCTGAAATATCAGGACTTTTTGAAGAAGTTCAGCTCAGAACTTGTAACGATGCCATCAAGCATTCCCAGTGCAACTAGTTCTGCAACTTCTACCAAGCCAGCTACCCGTGCCATGCAGGAGCCACGTGTGTCTTCTCAGCCTGAACATCCCAAGACATCGTCTTCTCTAGTAGGGCAAAAGAGCGTAAGTGTGATTGTTTTATGAATTTGCTGGATTTTCATTTCTGTGCATAGGCTGAAAATAATACCTGTGGAACTCAGTGAAGGTATTCCTATTGATTGCCCATGAAATCAGGCACAAGCACCTGTCAATAAGCAAACCATGTATGTCAGTTTACACCAATAGCATTCCCCGCTGTTACCATACATATATCCATCAGAGCTGTACAGCAAATAAAATTTCTGTGTTTAAGCACAATCAGGTTTCTGAGAACAAAGTAAACCACCAAAATTACAAAGGCCCAATAATTGCAAAAGCAGCATAAAAAAATATATAGCATCTTATCTGTGGTCATCTCACAAAGCTAGGCAGGATTGGCAGTTGCAATTTTCTAATAGGTGTTTGCTGGCCTTTCCAAAAACATTCTGGTGGTCTTGCCTGCTTTCTGGTGGATGCCAGATCACAGCTGTTAATGCCTGATAGTCTGACTGATAGACTTGCCATGAAGGCCAGTGATCTGAGAGGGATAAGAGAAGTGGATTAGGAATACAGTAGTTTTGGTTCATTTTTGCATCCTTACCTATACTTCACGTCAATAATGCACTTTGGTCCTCTCCACTGCCATGCTGGTCTCTTAGCCTAGTGCTAGAATTCACAGAAAGGTGGGGAAATCATTACAGGCAGAAAAATTAAATATCCCCTTTGTGGAGCTGCATCTACCTATTCCACGTTCTTTGGCTACAACCAAACGTACAACAGAAAAATAAAATATTTAGAATTATTCAGTGCCTGGAACATGCTTGGATTTTCTGACTACTTCTACATGGAGATATTTAGCTACTGAAAAAGAAATAACAGATTGAGCAAATTAAAGATGCAAACAACTTGTCAGGGCTGGTAAATCTAAATATTGGCCCATTGCTAGCTCAATTATTGCATTACCTATACGTTCTTTCTTGAAAAGCCCAGAAAATTAGCTACATGCATCCTTCATGCTTTGATCCAGTTCCCAAAGAAAGCAATGGAAAATTCCTCGTTACTGTCTGTGAATGCTAGATTGGGCAGTATAAGACAATAGGAAGGGAACTTAAGTCTCCCCGAACTTACGGCTGCTGGAAAGACCCCAGCCAGCCTGAACACCGATCAGGATGAATGGTCCTGCAGCGTTCATTGCATGGAAACGTGTGTGAGGCCTCAGCAAGTCTGCACCAGTGAGACCCTCAAGTGAGCACTGGGAAGTCTCACTAAATATGAAATTATACATTGGACCTGGAAGCATAAATACCGCTTGTGCACATATCGTGCAGTGGTAGGCTGAGGCTTTGCTTCCAGTTCACCCACAGTACTGCTGAGGCAGCAATCAAAAAGAGCACTGGGATCCTCTCACATTATTGCTTCTGTGGCTTTGCATAGGACCAGGAATTCTCCCAGTAACAAATCAAAACAATGTTATTTCGTAATTCAGTGACTTTGCACTGGTTTGTTTGTTTGTTCTAAGATGGCAGTACATAGATTTTATTGAGCACAGTATCTGTGGTTTAATAAGAAACAGTTTGGAGAAACTATAAATGACTTACAAATTAAGCCAAATACAGAAAAAGTGGTCAAGGCCCATTAAATGAATAGCGTCATTTTGACACTAAGAGTGTTCTCACATTTTTACCTACAGTTTTGCAGACACAATTCAAATCAGACTTAGAAGTGGCTCAAATGGTACATTAACCTCACCTGGAAGACCAGAAACTGGATTTGTCATCTGGTGGTTTGTCTAGACAACCAGTAAAACTCAATAGAAAAAATTACCATTATCTCTTGTTTTAGATACCAGCACCCAGTCGTCCTCAGACAACAACAACTTGTTCTGCACCTATCCTTAACTGTGAAACAATAGAAAATAAGATAAGAAAGAACATTCAACACTGCTGGAGAGGCATACTGAAAGTGTGCCGAGAGAAGGATGTCAGCAAGCTAGGAGAAATCCCAGTGTCAGACTTCCTAGGTTTGTTACCGTCTGGAAAGTGTTTTATTCATTCTTGGATGCGTTCTGTTTTTTTTCTGGTGTCCCAGCCATAGGAACATCTGGCCTCTAGTAAGGGCATCCACTGCATGATTGCTCCAGGTACCACCCTGCTATGGCAGAGCAGAATAGCTTACAGTAGCCTTGGGTGCGATACATTCACGTCCCCATTCAGAATTAGCTGCTCCTTGGAAAAGGAGTGCGTGACTTGCTTGGGGGTACTTACGGCATGTACACAAATTTCTCATCACCTTCCCAATACACTACCCTTTCTGTGCCTGGGGATATTCAAATAAATAGATTCACCAGTCTTTTTCTTGTGTGTGCTTCTGGTTGCACCGGTCTTGATGGCTGATTTGAAAGGACCCTGGATTTTACTCTCAGAAGAGCTGGGCTATGCTGCTCTTCCATTGTGTTCTCTTCTAGAGAGGGGATTTTCTGTGCCTTTGTTAGGACATTTGCATGTGTGATAAGACAGTGTGCACCTGTATAATTGAATGTAAAGTCCTGGCTATAAGAACATGTTAGCTTATCAGATCCTTTATCTCAGTTAATGTCAAGGAGTACTTCTTGTGCATTTAAAATCAAAATGACATGTTATCAGTCCCCTGAAACCCTGTAAAATGTGAACTGCCACCCCATAAGTATAGGCATATGCATGTACTTGCATATAGCAAGAACGGCGTAACACACGCACGCAGCAGTCACTGGAACTGATGACCTGTCAACATATCCCTGCTAAAACTTGCGAACACAGGACAATTGGCTATTTTTAAGAATGACAAAATGAATATTCTTTCTTTGCATTTCAGATATAGCAGAGAAATTCAATTTGGATTTAAGTGAAGGGGAAATTAACCAAATAACAACAAAATATGATTTAAAGAAAAATGGAAGATTTGCATACTATGACTTCCTTCAGAGTTGTATCTTGTTGTTAAAACCACAGGAAAGCTCACTGCTACAGAGAGTAATTATACAGAAGCCACAAAAGCCAGTAGGTACAAAGTTTATAAAAATCAAAATGACAATTTTTTTTCAGTTTCTGCTGTACTGACAGGATATTTCATGGCCTGTTTCTATAGTCACTTTATGCAGGGACTTTCCAGCATTTTCTTATTTAATCCCATGATATTAATTGCCTAGTATTCATTTGGTATCTCCTTCAGTTGGAAGATTTAACTCCTTGGGATCATGCTCTATATCCAGGTTATATGGTAAATTGGCTAAATTTGCTAAAATCTGGATAATAATTCCAAATAGAAAACAGGGGAGCTGACTGTTTAAGAGCTTTTGTTGAACTAAATAAAAATCAAGCTGGAAATAAAAAGTGCATGGGATGTGTCTTAGGATGGCCCCGACTAGAGATCTTGTCAGCAAGCTGTGCCTCTGCTCCACACCCGGCACTGTAAGAAAAGCCCAGAGGAAGCTCTCACTTGCACTGCTGTTAATGGTCACTAAAAACATCTAAGAGCCAGGACTGGTCAGCGCACATTGCACCTTTGCATCTTTCCCTGCCACACCTATCTGCTTCCCAAGCTGCAATGAAAAGAGTCCCAGCAAGGCAGCTGCACACTGGCTGTTCCCCTCTGCCCACAGTAGCGCTCTAGGGCAGAAAAGATCAGAAGAGACCCAGAAATCTGGCTTTTGTGGCCCAGAAAGGAAGACATCAGTTATAGCATCCCAATCAAGTTATGTAGTAGGAACAGTGCCAAATTCCAAATCTGCTCATTCAGCGAGCCTGCTACATTTTTAGACTGTTTCTGACTATGCCTAATTAGTTTAGATATGGTTAGTAGCAGCATTTTATAGAGAAATTACATTACCGAACTGTTTTCAGATGTGGAACGAACAGATTGCCACCAAGGTATGAAGAGAGTAGCATTAGGAATTATCAAGTATTCACTACTGGTAGGGATAGTGAGGTAAAACTATTAAGTTTTGCATCAAAGAAAGAACTTCATTATCTTACATAAGATTTCTTTTACACACAAATTTGATGCTGTAAAATTCCATCCCAGTATTCTGGAGTGGATAAAGCAGTAATTTTTAAATGCCTATGTAGTTGTCTCAAATAATTTTTATTTCATTTATTCTATTCAGGGGAAAAAAAAAAGGTCTCAGTCCATGTTCTGAGCACCTTTATATAATGTAATATTCAAAGTGAAATTTCCTCATAGATTGCTCAGCCCATTCCACCTAATAAGTGTACAGATACACATCAAAAGGAATAATAATAAAAAAAAAACCAAATAAAACCTTTTGTTTTGGTGGCAAGCATAATTGTTTCTCTTTCTCAAAAGCCTGAGAGAATCAATGGCCTAGGGCTTCATGGAAGCATCCAGGCTCTGAGCTATGAAAATAACCCAAGTTGAAGTCATCATAAAGTGCCCTTTCCCTCTCCTCAGCCCACAAAGATACTCAGTATTTTGTGTTGGAAACTGCATTATTCATGTACCCCCTCATTCCTCAGCTACATAGTCTGAAAGGAGGAATACCCCAAGAGCACAGAAAGAAGGTGCAACTGCTCCCCAGGCCTCTTACAACTCGTTTAGGTGCAGCATGGCCTCTGTGTTCACATAGTGGATGTATAAAACCAACTGTGCATTCCTTCACAAGGAGATGCTTGTAGAGACTCCAGTGGCATGTGCAACTGGCACAAACGGGGCACTATCAACTTACCCAATTACAATAATAAATACCAGGAGAGTGTAGGGGAAGCTGAGATGGAGCTGTATTTTAAGAAAATAGTAGAGCAGATCCAGACCCTGCAGGTGGATTGGGGCTTGCTGACTTTTCCCAAAGTCCCTTACTCATCACTGCAGTATTAAAGCTTTGTACAAGTGGCATTAATTTTGCCTTAATGAATAGTTCTGCAGTTCACATGTGTGCAGGGTACACCGATGTAACAAGTTTAGCCAAGCCAAAACAACAGGCCACAACATGTCCCAAGGAAAATTAAGCCGATGGGCCAGCTGTGGAACTGCAGAAAGGTTCAAAAGCTGGTTACAAGGTATTTTATGTACTGAGAAAAGCATACAGTTGTTTTTTCTTAAATACCGTACCACTCCCACAGTTGGCTTATGCATTCAGTCACTTTTAAACAAAAATTTCACTCTGAAAAATGTACAGTGCAGAGAATTAAAAATGGCTGAAAGAGGGAGTTGAAACAAGGACAACCATAATACATGTGAAAACACTGAGATCTGAGCAGAAGTAACACTGACTTCAGAATCAGTTTCAAATAATAAAAAGTTAGGGCTTTGGCAGTGATTAAGTTAATACACCATCTGCACTTCCCAAGAATATCAAAATGTTATAGGTTAAAATAATCTTGTGGAAACAGTATCTTGCAGTAATTTGTAAACAAGTATTCAGCAGCCAGTTGCAGATCAAGGCAGCATTACAGTCCAACACCTTTTTATTCTGCATTATAGTTGTGCCCAGTTGTGCTCATGCTGATCTTAGTAAATGCGAGTCTTTCTCATCCAATTTTGTTAGATGAGTCCTGGACCACAAACCATGTCGTTCTTCAGCGCAATGCTGAGAATTCAGCCCCAGATCTTGCACTGCTGGAGACCAATGAAGAGAACTTTTAAATCCTATGATGAAAGTCATACTGGACTGTTAGATATTGCAGATTTCATACAAGTAAGTTGTATTTAGCAATTAATAGTCAGAAAATTACAGTAGTCTAATCTGAGCTTCCTTACTGAAAATTTTCTGAAAAATGGTACTGAACCAGAACGCATAAACTCATCCTGGCCCCTCTTCGTGACTTCAGCTCTGACCATTACTCACGGTAATCTTTCTCCACGTGTGATTACAATTCCTTAAGGTCTTAGTGGAGTCCTGAATAGATAAAATGGAGAAAAACCTTAGTCCCTATACAAAGTTTAGATGTGTATCTTTCACAATCATGTGGGAAGGGAATAGAAGCATACCTTCTGGTAGGTCTCCCTTCAGGCACTACTGCAGCTGCAGGATCCTGTGACCCTCCAACTGATGCGGTCCCTTCTAAATGTGGAACAGGCTCAAGCAATCCCCACTTGAGAGTCTCTGTTTCTGGTTTCTCTCTCTGCTGTGTGCAGCATAGTTTTGTACTAGGCAAGGGATCCGTATCCTCTGCAAATACTTTAGTACCTTGTATCTCCTCAAATACACACCTGTGTGTTCTGGATATCAGTGATTCTTCATCTAGATCCATGGGGGGGTTGTTTTTTGCTTAGCTGCACTGGTTTCAAAATCTTTGATATTGTTTTAACTAGGAATAATAATCACTCTCTGTTCTGGAGTAATTCAGAATATTTGCTATTCAAATGCAAGAAAAAAAATCGCATGGGGCCCTAAACCTATTTAATGCTGCGTGCATTAGGACACCCCTTGGTATCGCTACTGCTTCAAAGAACTGATCAACTAGTGGACGGGATGCTCAATCACAGTAAGCAAGTGCTTGGCTCCAGTAAGCGAAGATAAGGTGTGCTTCTGACGCTCCCCTTCCCTGAGATGCAGGAAGCCAGCTTGTTGCCTGGCAGACTATAAACCTGGTCGATTATACCAGTCACAGAAGTGCTCTTTTAAATCTTTACTTATTTAGGACTGGTGGGAATGTGATATGTTCTGGCACTGCCACATAGCTGAAACCTGAGTTCCTGCCTGCTCCTCTGCGAAGGCTGAGGAGCAAGATGTATCAATGTGGCTGTATCAACTTCATGCCTGAGGCTCCCTGTCTATCACTGCAGCTTTCTGACTGCTTGGGCGCTGCCTCAGCAGACCAGGCTCAGGGGAGAAGGAGTGAACATCAGGCTCCTTTGCATTTTATTTTAATTTGTCATGTTCCTCTAGGACATGTGATGATTACCATTTATAGTTAAAGCAATGTCAACAACTTTCAAATCAAGCTTCCTAACATGATATAAGCTAAGCAAAAAAAAAAAAAAAAAAAAAACCAAAACCAAAAAACCACCACAACAAACCCACAACCAAAAAACTAACTCCTCATGGATCTAGATCAAGAAGCAATCCCCGATTCCAAAATCCTACTACAAAGGTGTTAATCTGCTGTTTGACAAGATATCAAGTCATTTGTGGAGGTACAGATCCCTTTATCTCCTAGGTAACTTAATTTACTGAAACGGGGAAATTAGCTCTCTACTAACTTCAGTAACACTGCTATTTATGGCTGTACTATCTGCAAGGGGTCATTAGTGATTTCTGATGCTGAGCTGTTAAGAGGGAAAGGGGCAGACTACACTGAGTTTGCCAGAAAACTAATGACAACTGGCATAGCACACAAGGACATACTGTGTTGCTGGTCACTTTCAGGGCTTAAATCCCCAAGTGCATCTAAACCCAGAAGTAATCCTCAGAAATTAATGCATTATTTTCTTTCATGTTAGGGCATTGAGAACATTAAAAACTGTTGAAGTGCAGAAAAAATGCAACAGGTGAAATATTTGAAAAATGCAGGTTTCTAACCTGGCTTTTAGCATCAGGTGAACCAGACGTGTCCTGTTCAAGTTGGGTTTTCACTGATGTGTTAGGAAGGCATGCTTACAGGCTGAGCATTTGTCCCATGGAAATTAAAAGCACTGAGTGCATCATGGGCATCATTATATACATAGGAGATTGCACAGTTTGAGTGACTGGATTATTCCTTCTGTTTCTCTGGATGCAAAGGTTGCAGATCATCCAAGGAGGATAGAAAGGAAGGTATTCCACCTCTTCATCTCATCTCCAGATAGTAGTGAAAGCCTTTTAAACATGTACTTTTTGTAAATTAGCTTCTATGCACACGGCTGCTACCCATTTCTTAATGCTCCCTCAGGCAAGTGCTAGTTGAGCTAGTGGACAAAGCCCTGCATATGCAGGTTTTCAGATATGTATCCCAGGGAGCCAGTATTGGCATGGGAAGAGTAAGAGATAATAAAGGAAGGTTTGATTTTCTAATATTCTGAGAAACCTAAGACTGAGTGGAACTGAACCATCAAGTTATTTTGTAAAGAAATTTTAGCAAGATAAGGTAATGTTTTTACTTCTTGCTTACCCAAAGCACTGGAATAAATTTTAAAGTTGTCTCTGTCTTTTGTAGGTTCTTCATGAGTACAGCATTGACCTGACTGAAGAGGAGTTATTCCACATTTTGGAATATTATGATAAAACTTTGTCTTCAAAAATATCCTATAATGATTTTCTCCGGGCATTCATACAGTAGGATTTGGTCAAATGCAGGAAACTGTAGATAAAGACAGTGACTGATTTATAATTTCAAACTAGTAAATTAATTGAGTATGGCTTTTTTGTATCTATTCATTACAAAACTCAAAATAGTTTAAAATTCTGACAGTGGTCCTGTGTTGTGGATTAAATCTACATAGTGAGGGAATTAGTTTTGCATAATCCATTTATCAGAAAAGAAAAAGACAACAATTAACATTGTCAAAATAATGCTTCCTAAGATGTCTCCAAAAGCACTTCATTTAAGGAAATTCTTTTTTAAATTTTACGCATTTTATTAACAACATACTCTTAACTTGTAAAAACGTTTGCAAGACATACTATTGAATTTCCTCAATTGTCATTTTCCAAATGTATTACTTTTAATACGTTAGCCTTCGTTATTCAAAAAAATCATCCCATTTCTCAGTGCATCTCTTCCCTCTACTCGCAGTGCCACATGTGTATTGTCAAAGACAGGTTAATATGGACCGGCCATTGAGATCTGAGCAGATGCCAACTGCGTGTGGACACCACACCTTTCCATGTTAAAACTGTTCTTCTACATCCTTCAGCACAGTTTAGAAAAGAAGCTACTTTACCGATAAGTATCGGCTTCTTAACTGCAGAGAAATATTCCCAATGTTAGCCGTGAGGTTTATTTTTTTAAGGATACTATATGTATATATTTATACAATAAACAGTAAATTGCAAGTAAAACCTCTGGTTAGATTTCCCAGTTTTAGAAAAATTGTGTTTGAACATCTTGTGAAGTATTTAGATCTTGGTGAGGAAATTAAAAGATAATTGACTGTTGAACTCTTGTTATAATTAAAGGATAATATGATCATCAGAGCCTGCTTTCTGGGATTATATCAACAACGAAACGCTTACCTGCTCTCAAGAATTGTTAGATAAATATTTCACTGCCTGGTTCCTGAATTAGTTTTCATCAGTACACCAAAGAGCCCTGTCCTCATCACCTGAACTGATTTGGTATCTTTCTTTCTCTGAAGTAACATATAAAGATAAGTCAACAAAAATTAATAAAGCAAAAAAAGAGACCAAGTTAGGAGTGTACAAACACACATGCACACACACGCACTCACACATACATATATCAAGGGAAGTCTTCAGAATGAGAAACGGTAGAGGAACGTAATCTTGTTTTTCTTATTATTTCTAGTGAATGTGTGAACCATTGTAATGAATCTGAAACATTCCCATTGCAGAACACTTTAATGCATGTTTTTTCTGAGAAAATGTTTGCATTTGGAGCTTTTCAGGAGATATTTTGAAGATCTTGAGTAAAAAGCATTGGGGAGGTTTGAGGTTAGATGTTCTGTATTGTTTCTCTTTTAGCTTCTAAGATTTGTGGATAATTTGTACTCTACTATAAAATAAATACATTTGGAATTGGATATATTTGAAATAGTAACATAAAAAAAATGCTTGCTAGACTTTTCTGCAAAACTGATGGCTATCTGTAAGTCCCTGCAATTGCTGCTTAGATATTCGATTAACAGAGGAGACTGAAACTACCGTTATTTAAGGATGTTCTCCCATACTAAATCAATACAAAAATTTCTAGTTCCTTTAATAGAAAACAGTGGGTTTTAAGAACACTCGTACATATGTCAGCAAGTGACTAAAAAGAGCTGATCCTGGTTCAGTTGCCTGAACACAGGCACGAGTTAGCTGTTCCCACCTGGCCTCTCTGGTAGGTCCTGCGTTAACACCGTCCAGCCCCACGGGGACGTCCCCAGCACCATCAGAGGGCATCCCAAACTGCAGTAGGTAACTGTGCTTCAGCAACTGAGCTGGGCCCAAGAGGGGTTCAGTTTAGTCCCACTTAAGATCCAATTAGCCTATTGTTGTTTAATTTTATCCTTGTAACTGGTGTGAAGACTCAAACTGCTCTCTTCCTTAATGGCAACTTCTTTCCTCCTCCCCATGCTTGATTTAATTTCTGTTATTATTTTATACAGTTTATGTGCTGAATTAATCGTTCATGTTCATTAAAGAATTAATTGCTATTTCGAATACCTAAGATTATAACACAAATATTACGTTAATTATTTTTAAAATAGTGGATTTCACTGTACTGATCTAACCAAGGAGGAAAAAAATAAACTACTTAAGTGATTATTGCATAGTATTGTTGGAGTTTTTGGGGGGGGTTTGTTTGACTTTTTTTGTTGTTCAAAATCTCCTATGCCTCCTGTTTGATAATTGGGTCCAATTTTATATCAAATACAATAAGACCTCCAACCCTGTGCTGCTTTCTGGCATGGAGCGTGCCTACTGTGTTTCCCGAAGGGATGCAGAAGTTGTGCCCCTTGCTCTGCCATTTTCAAGATACCCGCTGTCTTCACGAGAGGCAAGGGGGCTTCTCTGGGTTTCCTGACACATCCTGCCAGAGGATTTTTCATTAGTTCGACTGGCAGGAGTATCACATCCAACAACTCCGAAGGGATTAAAGAACAATCTTTTCACTGTACAAACAAATCAAATCATGCTGGTTTTTTTAGTGAGTTCTTAAAGGCAGGAATGGCACTTGCCAACTGTTTATCCAACCTCAAAAAGGAAAAAAAAAAAAAAAAACCACAACAAATTGAATTTCAACTGCCAGTTTTTTGAAATAACTGAGGTAATTTTTTATATTAAAATCACAAACTGCTGATGGATAAACTTTGTAATAGAAGAGGGCTTTATTTTTTTGCAGCCGTTCCCCCTAACCAAGGGTCAGCCACCCAGCCAGGAGGGGCTGGCAGAGATCCCCTGTGTTTCCACTGCGAGGCAGGTAACGTCAGGGGGATTGAGCATTATCCCAGGGTAATGATCTCCCGCTGCTGTGTATAAATGCTGCGGCAAAGCTGAGGCGGTTCTGAAAATAAAAACATCAGTGCAAAGCTAAGAAATTTCATTTCCAAACAGAGGACATCATTGATCCTGTACCTGCTCAGGATCGCCATTTTCTCTGTCGTCCCTGGAGCAGCAGCATGGGCACGGGGACACCAGCCCGGCTGCTGCCGTGCAGCCCTCGACGCGCTGGGCTGCTGCTTGGGGCGGGAGGTGAGGAGCGCAACGCCTCAGAGGGATTTTGGCAGCACGGGTCCCTGCCAGCGCTCCCTGCGAGGAGGCATCTGCTGCCACCGAAACGCAGCAGCGGGTGATGGCCTCCTCCCCGCCCTTCACTGGCCATCAAGCCGCAGGGAGCCATCGCTGGCTGTTCCCTCCAGACGTGCCTTTTCTGGGCTCAGTAGAGAAAAGCCCTTAAGCAAGGTGTCTCACCTCCCTCCCCGAGGGTCCTTCCACGGGCTTTGGGAAGGGAGGCGTTGGCCCTCAGGCACAGGAGCTGGGGCATGGCCTTGTGGCTGCAGCCCAGCCCTTGCACTTGGCTTTGCGCTGGGCTGCCGTCAAACATCTGACTGGGCTAATCAAGCTTAATGCTGTCAGGCATCCCACAGGGTGTGAAGGGAGGCCAAAAACACCCCATAATCAGGGGAGAGACGTCCGCCTTCAGCAGCCTCTCCAGCAAAGCCTGGAGAACAGCAGACAAGGATCCCCAGGGGTTGTCAGCTGTGGGCAACAACCTGCTCCCTGCGAGAGCAGCGCCAGGCCCCTCCACCCACCCTCAGCATTTCCCTGCTGCTCTGTCCCCGAAACCAGCAGTCCCTGTGACTGCTTATGTGCCTCTTCCGAGCTGGAGACAAAAGGTTTGCTAAGGCTAACAGAAAATGCATCCTTCAGCAGTGTTTTAACATCGTTGTAATTTTTGTTTCCTGCACTCCAGAGCAGGATAAGCTAATTGAAAGAGACTGAAGTTACTAACAAATCTGCTGCTGCACAGGAGCCTCCCATCACTGCCAGGTCACCCTCCCACTAGACCCCTTGTGTTTCCCCACCTGCACGTCCAAGTTTTGCTCATTACTACGTCCCTCAGCAAAACAGCAGCTCACACAGGGCACCTCTAACAGGAGGCTGGTGAGCAGGTGTCTCCAGCTTGCCACTGCCAAATTACTTACCCTGACTGTTCAGAAAGCCATTTACAGAAAGAAAACACCCCAAAGAAATACTGGTCACCAGCACAGGGAGAAGCCCCCCAGAGCAGCAGCCTGCCCAGAGGGACCAGGTCAATACCAGCGAGCCTACACAGCAAAAAAGCTCACACCAGCCAAGCACCATAGGGCTTCCAGGCAATTAAAATAAATATAAATACCCCTCACCACGTAGAAAGTGAATTTCCTGTATAAGCAGGCTATAGAAGAGGAGATGGTGTCTTTCACTGGATTTTCTTCCTCCCCCATCTTTCCTCTCAGGCTTTTCTCACTTCGAAGCCCTGTAAATATGGATGCTCACCAGTAACATGTGCTGCTCATTAGCACATCCTCAAGCCCACCTGAGCTACTTGGCCTCTCCAAATCCCCTGCCCTGAGGCCAGCTTGCTGCTATTGCCAAGAAGCAGGAGCTGGTTTGGGGGAGGGGGCAGCTCCAGGAGAGCCCTTTCGGAGCAGGGCAGAAAGGCTGTGGCACAAAAGCTGTTTGCTAGGAGCATGAGGAAGCAGGACAAGGGAAATGAAAGATGGGAGTCAGTCAGAGGAGGGACAGAAGAAGAGGTTTGTAGACTCTGTATCAGCTATTTCTATCCTAGGGCTTGTTGTGGAGCCTGCGAGAGCAGAAATAGAGCCTCTCTGTGCTCAAAGGATGAAGAAGCAGGGAAGGGCAGAGGGAGGGCTGAGGCTAGGCGAAGGGACAGAAGAGAGAGGAAAGAAGGAAGAGATTCATATGGGCCCTCTTCTACATTGGCAACTGGCATAAAGCCTGCAAGTCTAGAAATAGAGTGCGCTTCAGAAAAAAAACCCAAACTTCTTCAGAATGCAGTCATTTGTTTGATTAAGGCATTACTGTGTGAAGTGCCTATATCTCTGTGCAGTTACTGTTTTTATCTGGATGATATGCAGCAAGTCATGAGCAGTAAGGGATGCTCCAAACATG